AATTGATAGTTGGAATATGTACCATATACTCTAACCTTGAGTTAATGATTATATTACACTGATACCATCCATAAAAATAATTCGTTCGTCATAACTCCTTTATTCACATCTTATAGTATCTTGGCAGACATTGTAAATTAACTTAAAAGAACACATACTCATTTACGTACCCAAGAATTTTTTTGAAGTTGCACACTGGATTTACCAAGTGCTGGAAAATGATTTTCTAATGTATGACTAGTCATGTGTGTTCGAAAATCGGAACCGCTTTTCAAAACTTGATTACAAGTAGCACAAATTTCTAAACCTTCAATCTTATTACCACTTTCTTTTTCGTGGACTTTAAATAGTTCTTGCTGTTTTGCGATATCAGGTAGAAGAACCAGAAGTTCTAGAAATACACTTTCAAAAGCGCTGAGACCCATAACTTCACGGCAATGCGTATAATAATCTTGTGCATTACACATTCCTTGGCGAAACAATCCACTGATATATCGAAATTCCTCAATTTGATCTTGTTGCATTAAAACTTCATTGACTTTAGCCACAAGGCATTTGTTTCGTTTTTGAAAATCTGGAGAAGGAACATAATTGTAGGCACTATTGTGCTTATCATTTGGTAAAATAGAATAACTCTCTCCAGAACTGTTTGTAAATGTTAATCCATTACTATTGTTTATTTTATCCATACTATTGTATTTTATACAAAAACCAGGTGGTGGAGGAGTCGTTGTTCCAAATCCAGGTGGTGGATTTGTAAAGCCTGGTGGCATAGAACTGCTAGTACCTAAAGCTGGAAAATCTTCTAAATGACGAGCATTTCTGTTAGTAGAATTTAAACTATCTATTTTCAGTTCAGTACGTTTTCTCTGTACTCCATTTGAGGTACTATTATCATTATTTGTATTTACAATTGTTTGGTTATCAGAATTTTTATGCTTCTTCTTTTCTTTCTTATTAGCATGTTCCACCTCTTTTGACTGTTGTACATTTATATTTTTTGACGAGTTCTCAGTGTTAGCTACATTATCTGTACTTTGTGCAGATTGGGAACTTGATTGTATAGCATTTACAGTGTCTATGCTACATGGATTCTTAGATGTTTTAGCTGTTTCACTTTCCTTTTTTACAACAACAGTATTTACATTTGTTTTTGAACTACTAATATCATTACTATTAGTACTAGAATTTTGCTTAACTTTTTTCTTCTTTGCTTTTCCCTTTGTTAAGTCGGTAGTTGTTTTCACATTGTTACTGTTATTAGAACTCTGTGGTTGACCCCAGGAAGGTACTACCGTAATTGTTGATTGTTTCTTTGATTTAGACGACTTTGATAATATAGGAAAGTCTTCTCCAGACTGAATAGGTGGTGGAGAGGGTACTAGTGGTGGCGACGCAACTTTCTTAGGTTTTGGTACAGATGTTGATGCTGACTTGGAACATGTCCATTGTAGAACTTCTTTCCACTGTGCTGAATTATTATTACTAGCTGACGGTTCTGAAGTACCTAGTGCAGGGAAATCAGATTCCATTGAAAGTTTTGCAGGTCGAATTCTAATATTAGGACCTGAAACTTTAGTAGTAACGGTTCCATTTGCTTCGTGATTTACTTGAATAGAGACATTGGAAGTTGTACCCTTCTGAGGCTGAGCACCTGATCCTAAAGTATTACCACTGGATACACTGAAGTTAACAGTTTTTGAAATACCGGCTGATTCCAATCCTAATGCTGGGAAATTTTCATCTGTAACAGCCAAGGGCTGTGGTCGTATAGTACTACGAATTGTTACATTTCCCCTACCTTTAGCTTGATTTAAGGTAGGTACAACAGGTGTAGCATTACCCAATGTTGGAAACTCTTCGGTACTCTGTACATCTACAGATGGCTGCCTTACAAAAGTAGGTTCGTTGTTTGTTACAAAAACATTTGAACTGTTTGGCATTACTGTTTGTTGATATTCCCTGAGATTATAATCTCTCCCACCATAATCTCTTGAATTCCTGGAAGTTGATGCACCTAACATTCCTCTTCTATTCATTCGATTATCACCTCGTGGAGCTAGAGTAAATTCTAATTCCAATGTTCTTGCTTGCTTTGCAGCTGCTTTGCTTAATTGTTTACTATGAACATTCGCTTTATGCGCTTTAAGATCTATGTCAGTTCTAAATACACTTGTGAATTTTTCTTCGGAGCACAGTCCTTCCTCGCATAAGTAATGCTCTTGCCTAAAATGATCTCTGAGATAATCATAAGAGCTGTAATACTGATGCAAACCATCTGCATCACAAAAGTGACAATACAAATGATCTCGTCTTAAGTGTCTAAATAGCTCATCGTTATCCATATAACGTTGATCACAAAATTCACATAGTGGATGTCCTTTATGACTTTTGTCATCAATATCACCTTTTCTTCTATGCTGTGCAAGATCAGATCTTGTATAACAACGTCTCTCATGGGAAAAAATCTATCGCATAAAAGAAAGATCTTAAATGTCATAGGTGATTATAATGATCGGTAATTTTTATAAAATATAAAAACTTATGAAAAAAGTTTAATAGTTGCCAGAAATACAGCTAAGTTAATATAAATGTACCTTTAAATTTTCTACACAGAGGTCGCAATAATGTAGCTCATGTCGATGTCTCATATGATCTTTAAGACTATTAAAATTATTAAACACAGGTTTTTCTTCACAAATGTTGCAAGTATTAGCCAATAAGTCGTAAAATTTACTTTGAATGTTAGATGTATCAAAATAAATATTATATCGTGTATCTGCTAAATGGCCTTTACGTAAATGGCAAAATGGTTTTATTTCCCTTGTAAATACAACTTTTGGTAAATCTTGACGACAAATTGGACATTCATTTTGACAGCAGAGTACTCTCATCCTAGTACTGCATTCATAACAAACAGGATGTTCACACATACCAATGCTATAAATATCAACATTTTTATAACACACAACACAGGTGTTATTATTTGTACTATCATTATTGGCAGACATTCTGTTTACTAATATTCTCTGTAAAAAATATAAATTTCTGCTGATACACACTCTGCTTACAGAATGTAATAAATTATTGTTTCTTACTAGTATTCAATTTTTGCTGACTCACTGATTTAGATGAAATGAATTATATTATCTTCTGTAACGCCACAATCTGTAACACAATTGACGTTTCAATATCGATATATTCATTCTTTATAAATATAATTACAGCTGTTACCAATGAGTACAACTCGCAGTTAAACGTTACTCAGTTTTCGTAAAAACATTTTATTTAAATTGATAAAACACAATATCATTGTATAATACAGTCTTTTTACTTAACTACTAGAATAAAGATGCGTAAGTTCAAACAATACTTTACAATCGTTAAAACCCGGACAGAATGAATATTGTATAAAGAAGAATTGTTTATGCTTTAGATAAAAATGATGTATGCACATTATTTAGCACGTTTCAAAAAATTTTCTTTATAAGAAATCTAAAAAAATGAACAATACCGTCTGGAAAATCTTCTAATAAGCAGATGGTAAAATTTCACAGGACGTCCCTGAAAGAAAAAGGTTATCACGATTTATACACTAGACTATGGTGTGTATAGTTGGTGTGATGAATTCAGCTCGATGAACAAGAAGGTTCCGGTTTCGAATGTTACATACAGTCATTGCTAAATCAAAGAGTAACTAGATGGACTAGTGATATGAATTTACTAACCATTTTAATTTAACTTCGCTCTGTTTTAATAAATTTGTATAAATTTCTCAACAGAACCAAATAAAATAGTGACATTTGTTATGTCACTCTCTCTTTAATAAGAGAAGAGTGACATAACAAATTTGTGATCGAAATTTTACTATGAATAAACGTTAACAATAGATCGTATCATTTATCAAAAGTAACAAGGAATAAAAACGATATTTTTTATATATATCATAAATACTATTCGAATGTAATTTTAAACCCACATTTTACACTTGTAACTAAGATAAGTAAATTAAAAGAAAAAACATAATTATTTTTTACTATTCAATTAATTCTTTATATTAAAACCTAGATCTGTATTATACGAAACAAATATTATATATTTACAATGTAACTAGAATAAAGTATTTTAAGGAATATTTTGTTTACTTATTATATTATATAATAAAATCTATTCACACACTTAAAATATCATGTAATAATTACAAATGTAAAAGCTATTCTTTTATCTTAATATTATATTTGAATAAATATTTTTCTTCAAGAATAATATATCAGCTGTTATTTAGTATTAAAGTTGCTTTATACTTAAAACTATACATTGCAAAAACTATATATGCATAATTTATACTTATCATCTTTTTTACAAATAGTGACGCATATTATTATAAGTGTACTGTCATGTAAATATTAAAAAAAATGTCACATAACAATAAAAATAACTAATATAGATGGTAAAATATACAGGAAGACTAATATTTTTTGATTGATTTTCGTATAAGAGCCAATCTCTGTTTATGTGCCTCTGTAACTGTTGCTCGTTTGTACGGACGTACTTCATCTGTACCAAAACCAGGGATCCACATATTCCAATTCCTTTCTGAAAGTCAGTAATTTAATTTTAATTTTTATTGAATTAACATATTAACATATTATAACATATTGATATTATTTATCTACTTTAATTATTTAATTTATATCTTACCAGAAACATTGATTGTTAAGTAACCAATTGTATATTATTATCCCTTATAACTTACCTAAATGTAATTGAACATCTTTTACTTCTACCGTATTAGCATGTCTGTGTTTAGCTAACAGACATGCTGCATTTACAGTTGTTTCTACAAAATCATCCGCTAACTGTAAAAGCATTTCCTCAACTTCTTCATCCAATTGTTCTGTTGGATCTACCTCTTTCACAAGATCTTGTAATCTTGTTTTAGTCAAAAACTGTAACCAAAACAAATTGATATTATAATCGAAATGGATTTTATTCTAAATACAGCAAACTGCATACCTGTGGAAAATCATTAAACGAACTTTGTTGTTGCTGCTGCTGCTGCTGCTGTTGTTGTGTAGATGGTTGTTGCGTTACCTGTTGTTTTGGTAGTTGCGTTACAAATTGAGATTGTTGAGATTGCGTATGAGGTTGTAAAATCTGTACTACCGTGTTACTACTTTGGATATTAGGCACAGTAGATGTTGTCTGAGTATTAGGTCCAATCGATTGTATGCTACCAAGTACAGGTGTCATGTCGGATCCTGCGCTGGTAGTTTGTACAAGAGCTGTTTGTTGTGACATTTTTTTATTCCATCAATAATTATACTGTCTTTATTATTGTTCAATAAATTTGAATAATTTTAATCTATAAAATACAAATATTTATTATGCGACTACAACTTGAAATTAGTAAACAATATAAACAGAACAATCATAACTTTCTAATATGTAGCTATTTATGCATTATGAAAGTGATACAAAATTTTATCGTCCAAGGTAGTTTATTCGGTCTATTTCTAGTAAAAAATGAAATTAATCTTATAAAGAGATAAGAAAGAAAAAATAAATAACTTTCTTGACACTTGATTTCAATGGTTAGAAGACTCATCAATAATACATATCTAGGTACTTACCTATAAGACAGTGTTTCAAATGCAGGGATAATTTGAATGTAAAAAAATGTCACTATTTGAATTTACGACTACATTCAAGAATATGCGAATATCGACTATTGTTCAAAGCCCTCTGATGGCATATTTGAGAAACTTTATAATATTTTGAATGTTTAAACTAGTCTTAATTTATTCATTTTATCAGAATCATTAGTAAGTTTTGATTTCATATCAGAATGCCGCAATTATTTACAATTAAAAAGTATACAAATAATTATTTCATCTACGTATTTTGCAATAGAAATATTTGTGCTGTTATGAGCCAGTACCAATTTGCATTCTTTAACAGACGAGCGCTTAAGTAGTACTGTGTCATAAAGTAATACTGTTAGGTGATGTTTACCGGTTTAACACTGGAGTAAAAGGAATCTTTTGTTTCGTGTTTTAATTATAATTTTAGTTGATCAAGTGTAACCGTATTGACAAATAATAAATTAGTGTCATAAATGAGATAAGAACTGACCAATCAAACTTGCATTCCTTAGCTTAACCATTAAATGATCTTCCATTTAAATTATTTAAATCATTTTTTGATGACATTGAGTTTATTGCAGCTATATTTATAATTTTTTAATATAACATTAAACACCCTATATTTGTATAATATTTTTTCTTACTTATGTAAACTTATAGAATATTATTGGCAAGGTTTAGCGCATTAAATTTGGGATACCCTGTATAATTCCGCGTCAGACATATGTCATCTCTCGTTTTTAAGATTATTTTAAATATATTTTGTTTGCCTTATTTCTTAGTAAAGCATTTCTAAAGTATGAATATAATTTCTCTCTATACTTCATTTAATAAAAATAAGTTGCTTTTTTTGTAGTTTTAATTGTATATTAGTATATAATTGAAAATTATTGTAATAAATTGGTTATATACTACCAAAATAAATATTTTCTAATTTACAAGTTTACTAGTATATATACACTTATTTTATTGTTTGCAACTATATAATAGTCTGACATTCAATTATAAATATTAATTAATGAATAAATGTTAAGAAATGATTGTATGATTGCATTTCTTTTTTTAGTACTATGACTAATTCAATGTCTGGTACTTGATACTGGTATAAGATTTTTCCTTATTTTTATTCTGAAGATACTAGTTGTGTTTATATTTATTATTTTTTATAAATTAGACAAAACATTGCAATTATTATATTGCTTAAGAACGTTTACATAATTATTTTAATTGCTTTGTTAAGTACATTTAAGAAATTTATTCTCA